AGAATAAGTAAGTAGTAGTCTTCATATGGCCATGCTAGGACTATCACACTCTTCATGATCTGAACACTAAATATAAACAATAGACAATAGTAAACCAGAACATAACTCACCATTAGAGGATCGTACACTAGTTTATTTGTGTAAGGAAGCAGATGCCACCAAACGCATTTCCGGTTCGTGGAGTAATTTCAATCATCTGCAGGCATGTAGAGTAAATTTGAGGTAGCAAACCAAAGTATAAGATGCCTCATTAAGATCGCAAGGTTAGGTGAATAAAAAAACGACTAGGGTTGCAACCGGCCATCTTTTCTCTTGGTTTAGTATATACTTGTTCTATTTCGTTAAGTATGGATTCTTGTACTGATAGTGTCTGTCGCGACCATACAGACGAAAGATTAGCACAGGTTAATCGGGGTCGCAGAACGGTGGGCCGAGGAGTTCTTTGTACAAAACAACAGTCTTCTCTAAGAGGCAACACTCCTTCGGTTTATAGTAATACCACATCACGAATTACTTCTAAACAACTTTTCCTACGAAATGGAAAATCATGTCACAATACTGTATTTTATTTGCTCGTAAAATTGTAAACCATCAGTCAAACTGCTAAAATCTTAGAAGAAACCTTTAAATTAAATTTTTGATGTGAACTTGTTTCTCGTTCAAAACATGTTATATTGTGTAAAAAAATAAAACATATTCTTACGAATATCTTTTTAGAATTATTAGCTGCAAGAATTTTACAAATAAATTAACAATAGTAAGACAGATGGCAAAGTTTTACTATGTTCTGAAGAATTGATAAATATATTTAAAAATATATTTTTAGTTTCCAAAATGTGTATTATGTATGCTATATGTTTTATTTTGACCTACTGAGGAGTGGCCGGTGATCCTAGAGGGCAATATGCTGTGGCGCAGATGTTAACGGATTTGAGATAGCGAATTAATTTCTCGTTAGTAAAGTTGACATGAGCTTCGACCTGGTTAACGACCGGACTTATTCGGCAACAGGCGAGTATGCGCTCCGTTTGCTGCCTATTATAATTAGATATTCCTATTGATTTTACTAGATTTTCGTCTACTAGATTTTCCATGGCCTAAATAGGAAAAACACTTTGATTAGTTATCCAATACAAAAGATAATACCCATTAAGGCTAAACTAAAATATAATAGCTATTTTAAAAA